GGCATGTTTGTTTGCATGAACTCACACGCCTGAAAGGAATTACTCCAGCTGTACAGTAATGTTTTTACCTATCTGCATAGAAAAGATTGAGAATTTATTCTCATAAGAGTGAAAAACATTATACTTGAGAGAAATTGAATTTCCGGTATTCAGTCATTTTAATGATATATCCAGATTCAAGTGAAGAGGGAATTTTTCTTTTCAATTAACTTTTCATTTTAGTCTGAAAACCTATTTTTTCTTTATGTATCATAACATCATTGTGGCTCTTCGTAATAAAACACCTTGAAATCTGTAAAGGCCAAATGTGAGGCCATCACTGGGAGGGGCCACTCCAGACAAAACTTCAAAAACCTTTGCGTATCTATCATAAATCCTCCCCAACTCTTCCTTATCTCTTCATTGTCATTCTTTTACCAGCCATACCTCCTGACATAAGAACTGCAGAAATGAAATAAGTTATCAAGTACAGTTGCGTGTGTGGTTCAAGAGTGGAGTGTGGTTAAGTATTAAATATTCAATAAGGACAACAGATTTGTACAATGAACAAACATTTCAACCTGATTTAATTGTATTCAATTAACATAACATGAATAGTTTTGGATGGTGGGATTAAGCCAGAATACCTGGTTGAAACCCATGCAGACACCTATTTTGAACTGAGGCTGTGTAGATGAAAATGATTTGGGGAATAAGGGGTGGTTCCTGTTCCAAAAACATACAGCTTTTATTGACTGTACACCACCAAAAAAAATAGAGAATTAATGAATGAAAATGATATTGACAAGTGGAGACGGGAAGAGAAAAGACAAAAATTAAATGGATGTGTGTGTGGAAGTACAATGTCTTATAATTTGTTGTAAAGTTCAAGCCAATGATTTCCTCATGGTGTTTACAAATTGATCATGGAAAATCCTACCACAAAAGAAAGCCTCTGGCATCCTCAGAGTAACACGAGTGTGCCTCAGGGATCCTCCTTGAAATCAGTGTTCGTTTTAGATATAAACAAATAACAGAAAATATGTCAAAATGCCAGTGCCAGTTTCCTTTTTCCTGCTGATAACTCAATGCTTTGCTGCTTTGCATTTGCTCTGAAAAAACTCCTGGTCCACTATACTCAGTCCAAATGAATTTCAAATTTGTGATATTTTCTACAAAACCTCTGAACCTTCCATTTGTCACTGTATTCTAACACGTTTCTTAGTCATATCAAACGTGTCAGAATTTTTCATTGATGATGGCCTCTCTCTGTTGTGCCTCAAATGGAGCAAATCATTTAAAAGATAGAATCATTTTTCTTTATTAGCCTCAGGCAGCTTGTTCCTACCCGCTTCTGTTCCTTGCTTGATTATGATGATGTCATTTATATGTCTGAAACTTTGCAGTGCGTAAATGCTTTGGCTACAATCTATCCTGATACACCTAGGCTCATTCTGAAGCCAGGTATAACACACCACTGCCAGCATGCTCAGGTTTGATGCGTTGCTTTGTCCTCCTGTAGACGAAACCATGGGCATATTTTTATCTACAGTTATTCATGCTCTGTTTCCATCTTATCTTGTGACCTAAATCCTTCAAAAAACTAAGCTAAGTTCATATTTAAGCTCCCTACACCCATTCTTGCTATTCATCCTTAAAGGCCATTCTAGATAAAGGAAAAAAAGGTTTTAACACATATGCTCACCGTTGCTCTTCAGTACTGCTTTTTCCTCTCTGTATGGATCATGTCCACCTCCTTATATGACACTGCAATGTCATCTCTTATGAATTTGTGTTTCAAACAAACAAAATACAAATGTGTGAAGTGCTCTGAGTTGTGTGAGTCTAATGTTCAGCACATCAGAGCTGAGGGCGCTGGAATAAGCATCTTTGCCCTACATATTTCTTGTTAAACAAACAGAAAGAATTGTTGGCAAAGACAGTTATGCTACTGGCTGTGTAGCAGAAGCTTTGGTTAAATTCATCAGTGCAATTATCATTGCTGTTGTCGTTTTCAGATATTTTAGTGTGTACCCAGGGCTGTGATATCAACTAACAGAAAGCTCCAAAACAGTTTTCACACCATCTCAAACTAACTGCACTACATGCCAAATACACAGGAGAGAATTCTAACTGAACCAAAGATGTTATATGTGAAAACTCTCCAAAAGTCAACCTGCTGTGTGAAAAGCTATTTATTTTCTTTCAATCGTGTTGGTACTTACAGAGAATAAAATCACTTTATTGTATAAAGCAGCCCAGGTTTGCTGAACAGGATGACACTTTTGCATTATATGTCTTTTGTTAGATGAATCTCTCTGTTAATTGCCATAGAGACTGATGCTGAGAGCACAGGCAACCCATTTTCTAAATAATGGTTATCTCAGAGAAAGGAAACTCCATGAATATAAAAATATTTCCACTACATTTTCTGCTTGGCCATTGGGAGCTCAACCAGAGCTCATATGCCCATGAGATGTCAGTCCGGCTTCAGCTACGATGCATACAAGCACACACACCCACGCGCGCACACACAAAAATACAGAATGGAGGTATGCAGGGGAAACTGATCAGCCATGTGGAGCAGGAAGGGCATTCCAATGGGACTAATTAAAGAGATGGAACAGACTGCAGAAATCATTGGAGAGCACCACTCGTTCTCTAACATTATTTCTTTCTCCTCTCGCTCTTCCTTTTTCTCTTGCTCCTTTGTGTTCGGTTAATGAAAGCAATATCATAAATGGTTATAAGATCCAATGCTGCCAGTATTCATACTGGATCAGGCTAAGGATTCTGCAAACACACAATGGGATGCGAAAAAGTCCTTCACAATCGTGTTCAAGCAGTTGCCATGTGACTTGTTCTGATATAAGGAGAAAACTTTGTTTGTGTATGTGTATGTTGATAAGTATGTCACCATTGGCTGCTGAGTTTGATACTGATGAAGACTCAGGCGAATTAGCTCTATTGATCCAAGCCCCTTTTTCCCAAGCAGTCAAACGCATAACTTCTTCAGCTCTCATTCTTACTGTTTCCCTGCTCGTTTCTATCCATTTCTGCATCTCACACCCACTCGTTTTAGAGGCAGACAGACCAACAACCAGCCATAATGAAGTGGCACTGCAACATCACAAACACTACTGTGTGTCTGAATTAGCCAGAGAGGAAGTTGGCAGCTTCTCTGCTTTGTTTCCTAATTATTTACTTCTCGCAGAGCATAGGTGATGGCAGGAGGAAGATAGTGAACGGAGGAGGGAGAGAGGAAAGTACACACGCGTACTGGGGAAGACGAGACGACATAAATGAGAGAAGGGAAGAATTGACAATCAGTTTTATTCATGAACCTGATCAGCTGCAGCATCTGTGCTCACATGGATGTCACATGTCAAAATAACATCCACTTGACTTTCCAGCAAAACATTGCATTGTAACAAGAAGATCAATGTTAGTAATTTAATCTGTTTGCAGTTTTGAATGTGTGCATTCTGGTGAGTCTACATGTGTGCCTGTGTGTGTGTGATACCCTCCAACCATGGAAAGCCTTGGCCTAGCCTGTCTAGCTTTGCGGCTTCTCTCAGCTCTAAAAAAGCCCGGCTGCATGGCCGGATGATTCACACACCAAGCTCAGAACTCAAGCCAGGGCTTAACACACAGATTCTCAAAAACACTCACACATGTGCAGATAAACTATGTGTCCAAACATAGTGCATGTGCACAGAAAAAGCACATCAACTCGTGCTCATATACAGTTAGGTGTGTGTGCGCGTGCGACTGTGTGTATGTGTAATCTCATCTGTGCTGAGTTAATCTGCTCACACCCACAAACCTGGAAAGTTTGCTTTACTTGCATCATCCCTTATCTGTTCAAGAATATTTCACAAAAAAAATCTTGTTTTTCCCTGGAGTGCATTTTCTGCTTTATAAGAAAACTACATCACCACCATGAAATTCATTTAGAGAGAAACTTGAACAAACTTTTTTGAGCTGCTAAATTTTGTTTCCTCTTACTGTATTGTGTTTGATTCCATTTGCTATTATGAGTCCATGTGTAAGCTTTTGGTGCTATGATATTACTATAATATCACATTTTATTATAGTTTTTGGAGCAATTTTCCTCTATTTGACTCGACTAAGACTAAATTGTGAAAATGATACAACAGACATTTAGCCACTGTTCAAATTCTATGTAGTCTCGTATATTTGCTATAAGCTTCTTGTCCTTGTTGTTATTGCCTTGCTCTGCACAAAGATTACACAAACCCAGCAACAAAATAGTTTCCCCTTGCGGAAAAAAGACACGTTTGTTTGTTAGCTGTGGATGTTTATGTCATGCTTGGTTTTCCAAAAAATAAAGAATACATAAATGCATTGACTTCTTTCAACATAAGCTACAACATTAAGGAGTGAAGGTGTGTTTGAGTGTTTGCTTTTTATTGTTTGCAATACCCGCAGAGTAATATAACACAGAGAATTGATTTTCAATACAGCATTGCAGAATGATGATAAAATAAAAAGATCCTTGTCAAGAATTTGGTTGAATGTTAACATGGCAGTAAAAGACGTTCAACTTTATGGTAGGATTCTCTCTGTCTGTATGTTACCGCAATGTTGCTTATTGCACCAAAGGACTGCATTGATTTTAGGAATTTCTTTTAAAACTTGAAAACAGCAACTTACCACTAAAGTAAACCCCTTATTTAACTTTTGCATGCGGTAGTTGGAGAACCAGTTTCTCAGTTCCATATAAAGTAGATAGACCGACCAATATCTTCTCTTTCGTGCATTTCCTGTGACTTCTGTATTCTGCTGAGAGTCGTGAGGGCCTGAGCTGTCATGGGCTGAGAGGCGGGGTGCCCCCCAGACAGGTCCCCAGGCTGCCCCACACCCACATGTATGCAAATGCTGAAATAGGTGAAAGGAAGGATGTGCTGTATTTGTATGTCACGAACCTGAAAACAAAAAAAACAATCATGGAGTGTGTATTCTCTGACTGTGTGTTTGCTTTTTATCTTTCCTGACAGAATGCGGGAACGGGGTCTTTCCCTTTGTGGAGTAGGTGTGTGGAGTCTACTGCTGTCCCTTTGTCTGGCCTCTTTCACTCATGCACACCGGAGCCACACAGGTAAGTCAGCGTACGTTTGTGCATCTGTTTGCATATGTGTGTAGAAAATTGAGAAATGAGTGTGTAATCACATCAACCACATTTTGGATCTAGTCAAAACTCCCATTGCAGGAACCCTCTGATTACACACGAGTATGTGTGGCAAAGTTGCTGTCGGGCATCCTAAGGTAAAAATAATGAGGTCAGATCCTCAACGAAATATGGGAAGGTTGCCAAGACAAACATGCAATGAAGTTCTGCCTAAGAAAACAGGATAGAAGTAATCCAGCGAAAGAATCCTCTCAGCTCTGGATGCTCCGGTGTCTTTGCTGTCCTATCATAGTGAGGCGACTCAGAAAATGTCAGAGAAAGGAGAAAGCTTTGGGGACTGATAATTCCTGGTCACTGGATATCCTTCCTGTCCACACTGGGTAGCTACACCATTGCCTGATGGAGCCCAGAGGCCCTTTACTTGCTGGCTCCTCTGTGAACACCTGCTTTATGTTTAATAGGAAGCACACCATGCCGATCACCATATTTCAGAAAGAGCTTTACTGTTAAGTCCCGGAGAATATGCTGGTCATCTATATGCAGTATTTGCAAAGAGGATTATAAAAATACTATATAGGATTATAAAATATTTCTTTTTTATTTAAATAGCTTAAGGTTTTTTTTTTTATTATTGATGATTCTAGAGTTGTTGAAAGCAAAAATATGTCAAGAGGTCTGACTTAAAGTGGACACTCATTAGTTGTGTATAACATTTTAATGTCAGCTATCTAATAAAAACCATAATAGCCATCTCAACGTTTGACAGTTTAAAGTTTTTTTTCGTACTTTTAAAGCTAAATTAGCAGATAAAAATCAAATGACTGGTGAAGCCAGTGACAGCTTCATCTGTGCGAAAAACATTACTTTGAATGTAATCGGTTGTTGATATTTATCCAAAAAGCCATGCCGATCTTCTTCAAGACTTGTTATTGCAAACACTAAAGCGGCCAATTTCTATCACTTTCCAAAGCTTTTGCCTTAAATATTTCGGAGGTTTATTTTTAGTCTGATGAGATCTGCATTTATAAAATAAGGGAAATTTTAGAAAAAAGAGCAGCACTCTCAAAATGCTTTCATAGTATCTTTATGTTTACTCATTAAAATTTGTTGCTTTCCAGGAGCAACTTCAGACTTCTTTCACTGCCTGACAACACAAATGGAAAAACAGAATCAGAGCCGCTTTAATGCGAGTTTGGCTCAATTGATGCATATGTTATCACAGAGAGCAAAAGGCAAGCAAACAGATGTGAATTGCTTAACAACTAAAATACAAGCCAGATGAATAACCATCTCCATGAATTACACCGCTGACAACTTTACCCTAAGGTGAAATAAACTCTTAAACTGCCTCTGATAAGTTTGGCTAAGACAAGATTCTTGATATTTGCAGATCTATCTGCTGAATCATTAGTATGCTCCAAGGAGCCATAGAATCCAAGAGAAACATTAACTCAAAGTGGGTTTTATGAGCTGACAGACAAATGACTATTACTACAGAGTTAATGTGTTTTCCGATCTGCTACTTAGACGGGATCAGAATACTTCTATTATTTCCTGACATACTGTATCTTTTTAGCAGCTGGAGGAGCTACCAGAGATCAAGCTATCACAACTCACGCTATCACAAAAGTAATATTTTTTTTGTTTAAATTCCAAATGAATTCTGCTTTGTTTTTTTACATAAAGACACCACTGTTCCTTGTCTCAATGTAATGCCATGCTGCTGTCCTATTCGATGGTACTTGGACATCACACTTATTGCATCAAGGAGTGGACAAACTCCAGAAGTATAATCCCAACAGAGTGAGACATAAGGCTAGTTTTGGCCACAAGAGTATTTAACTTTGGGTATTTGAATTGTCTCCAGCTCAATGTAGGACTACTAATGTTACCAATATAACAAGGTTATATTTTGGCCACTTTTCTTCAGGGAAATGTTTTTACTAAGCATAAATGATTGTCATGCTCTACTACAGGTATGTGAGAGAGAAAATAGTGTTCTTAAGACATTTGCAGTACAAGTATTTGAAACTGATTCAGTTTAGATAAGAATAAAACTAAGAAGTGATGATAGTAGAGTTATGGTTGGTTAAACTGCATAAAGTGGGCAGAAATGGCTTAAAAATCTCCCAATCTGCCTTTGGCTTCCTCATCTTACATCCTGCGCAAAAGCTGCTTCTCATCTCAGCTGGTTGTGTTTGTTCACCATGTGCAGATTCTCCATCATCCAGGTTGTTATGATCCAGTAACTCAGAGCTTATTTGTCATGGTGTTTGTTTTTGGTATGTTGTATGTAATGTCATGGGAAATGTTACAGTGAATGTTATAGTGAATTATAAACAGATAGACTAGTTTAATGTTACGTCTCACTTTCAACTTGGGAGAATTTCAAATACATTCTTCAAACTGCTGGAGAGAATGAGAAAAAGGAGGCCACAGCTGTGGGAAGAAAGGTTTCATCCTTCATCAGGACTGCACACCAGCACCCTCTGTGCTTTTGTTAAAGCAGTTGATATCATTTGGTTTTATATTTAGTTAGAAATGCAGCTCGGTACTTATTGATAAGTTATAGCACCATGCAACATTTGTTTTTTTCCCCTAAAATCAGGTGTGCACTGACTTAAACCCGTTTATTGCCTGTCCCTGAAGCAAAAGAAAATGAAAGACAACTGACAGAAGAAGAGGGACCGTGTCACTCTGATCAGTGGAAGTCCAAACAGTAGTTGCAGAAAATGGAACTAATATCTAAAAGAGACTAAAAGCAGGGTAAGATTTGTGTCTGACTGAAGAAGAAAATACTAGTCAGACCAAGTCTGTTAAAAATCTATTAAAAAGAACTCTAATAAGAGAGGCACCAGATCTTCGACCTTCGGAACAGCAATTGAGAATTTCTCACGATGATATCACTTCTCTGAAACAACAAGGTTCTTTGTATGAGCTAATGTGTCTGAAAAGTGAACGTGCGTCCTTGCTGAAATGTGAACAGCTATAAGGATGGCTTTGTGTATGTGTCTGGTGTCTGTTTGTGTGTAAGATTGACTTCCCTGCTCTCTGGCTGTCAGACATTATCACCTGCTCTCAAAGAGAGATTCTCAACAAGGGCAAGGGCAAACATTTTCATAAAAGGAGGGATGGTGAGGTGACATAGAGAGGAGGAGAAGACTCCCTCTCTCAGTGAGATGCCTCATCATAGTTTTCTTAGTAAAATGCTGAGTTCTGCACAAAGTAAACAGCAGGTGAGAGAGATAAATAACTAGAAAGACAAGAGGAATTTTCCCCCAGTTTGGTGTGTGTGCCTCTAGTGACGGATTGTAGAGTACGGTGGCATAGTGGTGTGTATGCTAGCAGTGACGCGTCAAAGCAAGAGGGTGCCCGGTTCCCTTTGTGTGCCCTGTGTGGACTTTGCATGGTCTCCGTGTTGGTTCTCTCAAGGTACTCCGACTTCCTCCCACGTCCAAAAACATGCACTTTAGGTTAATTGCTGATTTTTAATTGTCCATAGGAGTTAATATGTGTGGTTTTTCGTTTCTATGTGGTCCTTTGATGGTCTGGAAACCTGTCTAAGGTGAACCCCCACGATGCATGGATGGATGATTGTAGAGTAAGTTGTAATCAGAGAGTTTCAACATTATCCTCTTGCAGTTTGTCTGTTGAGCAAAACAGAGCAGTAATCAGATAATTACTAAATACAATCTCTGAGCTTGCCTCAAGGTTAATGCAATCACTCATACTACCCACAGTTTTGTGCATATTCTTTACGAGCCTTCAATTAGGCACATATACACACCCGCAATTGCAACCACATATTGATTAGATCAATTAAATTGATTATATCAATATCTGGCTCGAAAATTTCATCATAGATTAGTTAGGGCTTCATTACGATGCACAGCGTGTGCTGTCCCAGTGTCACCTATACAGCGGGCGCAGTAAGTCAGGCTTGTGCAGCCATTTGATGAACTGATTAGGAGGAATAGAAAATGGCTAAAATTGTAGGGGCAGAGACTGGAAATATAAGGAAAAGCAGACTAACATTTTCTCATATTAAGATAGAGGTAGAACCTTAAATTTGTACACCAGTTTTTGACCTTAATAGCACAAGATATTTGCAATTTAAAAATAATGATTGATGAAACAATGTGGTTGGCCAGATGAGGAAAAAACTGTGGTTGAATTGATCTGCTTTTGTGGAATTTCTTCTTCAAGTATGCTGATGTATGATCATTGCTGTTTCAGTTGTCCTTAACTTCAACAGTCTTCTAAACTGTGAGACTGTACCACGGTTTATAAACCAGAGGGGCTTCCGTCTCAGAACAGCTTCTAGTGAATCACGTTAGTGGCAGAATTAAAGAAAAACGAAACTGTGTGGTTGCTTGATCTGCTTGATCTTTTGTCTTAAGAAATAAAACCATTAAAGCATAAGTCAAGCACAAATACATGTATTTGTAGGCATCACTGAATCCTAATACTGGTTGAAAAAAACAAAAAACGAAAAGCAAACCCTAAATATTATATTGCACAAGTGTAACTCATCTAAGGCAGGTGGCTCAGGGATTCTGTATAAAAATTATGTTATTCAGGTCTCTATATACACATCTCTAACAGAAAACGTGACTACAGAGCTTTAATATTTGTGGTATATCACAGTCCTCACATAATGAAGTGATCTTATTTGGAGGCTAAGTTTAAGTTGAATGTTTCAGTGACTTGTGCCGATAGTCGTGTGGAAACAGCTTGGCTTGGACTTCGAGGCAATGTGGAACAGCGATTACGCTGATCACTTCAACACACACTGTCAACTCATTGATTTTTAGTCCATAGGTTGCAGTCTCCATACATCTCCTCTGATTAGAGACCAGTGAGGACTTAACATGCTCTGAAAGGAACTGGGGCTGGAATGGAAGGGAAATATACATGAGGACAAAGATTTTACAAGCCACTATGATAGCTACCCCACTCCAAAGGGCTTC